GGCGCGATCCAGAGTCGCTTAGGCGCTCTCAAGGCCAACTGGGAGAAATTCAACGTCTATCATGACAACTTGTTTAAAGCACGTCATGCCGAGATAGAGCAGCTTCCATACGTTACGAAAACGTCTACTCTCTCTGTGAAAAGAAATTCCATGAAGCGTACGGATTTATGCTCGATGTGCTGGACCAGTTTGATCGCAAAGCGCTACATGAGGCTACCGTTATCAACGCAACTATCTCTACTACAGGATCTCACTCTCGTTGATTACCGCGCACCGACTTACCGAAGTTTTCCGGTGACTACACTCAGTGGAGACTTTCGAGACCTCTTCACGTCCATCGTCATGGAAAGCAACGATTTCTCGGCTGTCGAAAAGCTCCATTATTTAAAAATGAGTTTAACCAGTGAACCGGCGCAATTGAAGAACATTCCCATCACTAGTGAAAATCTGAAACACTCGTGGGAAATTCTCGTGACTAGCTACGACAATAAACGAGTTCTGATCGACGCGCAATTATTCGCCTTATTCGCGATTCGCAAATTTAAAACGGCAGGTGCAACGGAAACAAAGAAATTTTTCGGCAATGTGAAAGAGGCGCTCGACGCCATCGAAACTCTCAAATGTCCGGTGAAATCCTGAGATCTCATTATCGTCTTCATGATCGTACGTAAACTCGACGTCAAATAATTGAAGGAATGGGAAATAACTCTCGGTGCAAAATCTACGTCCCCGTCCTTTGGTGATCTAGAGCAGTTCCTGGTTGGACGCGTGCAAACCCTGGAATCTATCGAACGAGTTATAATGCCATTTAAGCAACCAGCTTCAAATTTCACGTCGATACGTTCGCAGTCAAATGCAAGAGCATACGCCGCCACCGCTGTCGTACCACAGTGTGCAGTGTGTAACTCGGGACATTATATCGCGTCGTGCCCGAAATACCTCGAGAGAACTGTGAATCAACGACGCGAGGTTGTCGTTATAAAAAACCTGTTTTAATTGTCTCGGACCTCATCACTTCAAGGCCTGTCACACTTCGAAATGTTGTCGGTTCTATCGCAAGCAACATCATTCAACGTTGCATGTAGCTACCGTTGAATCAGACGCCTCGACATCGTCCACTACGAAAGCAATTTCCGTCCCGTCGGCTACCGGCCCCACCACAGGCATCTCTGGAGCATCTCAAACCAACGGACAAACCGGCGCTCCTCACACGTGCAGTCACATTGCACATTCACGCATAATTAGACGCACTCCAGTACTCCTCGCTACCGTTTTAGTTACGGCTATCTCTCGAGCTGGAAAACGATTCCAGCTACGGGTATTGCCCGATCAAGGATCTGAAGCTTCGTTTATCTCCGAGTTCACCGCGCAGCTTCTAAAGTTATCGCGTAAACCTGCGTCCGTCCTAATTCTCGGAATCGACGCACAACGCTCCGATGTCTCAAACGGACGGGTCTCTCTTGAAATTATCTAGCGGATCAATTCAGCATTCTCTATCAAACTGGAAGCTCTCGTGCTGCCGAAACTCACCGCTTACTTGCCACCCACGAAGATTGCATCCACTCACTGGCCACACATCGACGGACTCCGCCTTGCGGACCCGAATTTCTCAGTGCCACGAAAAATTGATTTAGTCCTCGGTGCAAGTGTCTAAGCGCAAATTCTCGAAAATGGTATACGCCGCGGAAACGGCGAATCACCGATTGCGCAACAGACAACTCTCGGATGAATATTATCCGGACAATTCTCCAACGATAAAGATCATCTCTCGCAAGACGCAGTCAACGGATTTCAGTGTTTTCTCGATTGTGAATGTTCTTCTCGATCTATTCCAACGATTTTGACCAAGAAGAAATCGTGCCGTCGCCTACTGCTACGTGCACACCGGAAGAAGCTCAATGTGAACATTACTTCAAAACGACTCAGTCTCGTGACGCTCACGGGCGATTCGTAGTTCGATTGCCGTTCCGAAAAAGTGTAAGTGATTTCGGTGACTCTCGTACTTCAGCTTTCAGAATGCTGCGTCGCATGGAAACACGCTTCGAAACGCACGCATCCCTCAAAACTGCATACGCGGAATTCTTGCGTGAGTATATTGAGCTGGAACATATGCGCCTCTCAGGCTCTCTAGACTTTTCGCGACACGAATTCTTTCTGCCGCATCACGGTGTCGTTAAAGATACTAGCTCAACGACGAATTCCACGTCGTGTTCAACGGATCACAAAAAACCAATCTCAGAATCTCCGTTAAATGATTACCTTCATATCGGACCGAAACTCCAAACGGAACTTACGGATATTATTATTCGTTGGCGTCGATATCGTTTCGTGTTCGCAGACGATATCGAAAAAATGTATCGTCAAGTTGGCGTACATCAAGACCATTGGCCGTTGCAAAAAATTCTCTGGAGAAACTCGCCCAGCAAAAATCCGCGCAAATATTTGTTGTGTACGATGACATACGGTCTCGCGTGCGCGCCATATCTCACTCTTCGTTGCTTACAGCAACTCGCTCTCGAATCCGAATCCACGCGCGCCTTTGCTGCAGAAATCATTCGGGTAAATGTTCCCCTTTACACAGTCAGCCTCAAATGACTTCTAAGTGACCTTGACCTTGACCTTGATCCTCAAGAAGGTCAAGGTCATTGACCGTTCCCGTCGCTCGTTATTCGTTGAAAAGTAATGAACGAAACAATTTTAGGGGCGCACGACTCTCACCTTCGACTCTCACTCCCCTCCCCCTGCTTCAGGGACGCCCGACTCTCACCTGAAGTGACTCTCATCCCACTTCGCCCTCTGAAAGTCATTCAGTGAGAGTCGAAGGTAAGAGTTGAGCGCCCCTGAAGGATGGGGAGGGAGGTGAGAGTCGAAGGTGAGAGTTGGGCGCCCCTGAAGCAGGGGGAGGGAGGGGTGAGAGTCGAAGGTGAGAGTCGTGCGCCCCTAAAATTGTTTCGTTCATAACTTGTGTGTGTGTGTGTGTGTGTGTGTGCACGCGCGCACGCGAGCGTATGTTTTATTCCATATAACTTATCTATTGACTGATATATACTGATGTACAATGTGATTGAAAAAATCAAAACCTGAGAGGCACTATAATTAATAGTGATTTGTGGAAAGGATATGCGCGTTTAAAGGAACTTGATTATGTACATCAAACCGTCAATCATTCCGTTCATTTTGTCGATCCTGAATCTGGTGTACATACGCAAAATATTGAGCGATTATGGCGTGATATGCGTTCTGCTTTGGTGTACTAAACCACGATTTGGTGTACGAGAAGAATACTATGAAAATTATTTAGCAGAATTTATATTCAAAAAACGATACGATTTCAATAAGAGAATACCGCAATTTTTTAGATTAATGGCTTCTTTATATCCATTAAATAATGTATTATCAAATAATGAATAAAATGTAATATATTCTTCATGTTGGAGTGTATGTTGTATTGAAAACACACACACACACACACATGCACACACACACACACATGAGGCCCTACGGACTCCCTTCCCGCACCCTTCCCATCGGTAGAGGTCCACATAACATTACAATATATAAAAAATTGTTTCGTTCATAACTTTTCAACGAATAACGAGCGACGGGAACGGTCAATGACCTTGACCTTCTTGAGGATCAAGGTCAAAGTCAAGGTCACTTAGAAGTCATTTGAGGCTGACTGTGTAAAGGGGAACATTTACCATCATTCGTTGCGACACATATGTTGACGACATTCTGTCAGGGGCAGATACAGTAGCTACCGCAAAAGAAAAAATGCAGCAACTTCAAGACACGCTCACGGCGGGCGACTTTAATTTAAAAAAGTGGGTTGCAAATTCTCCGAATCTGCTCGCAAACATCTCAGTTCACGATCAAGAAGTGTCCGCGATGGTTCGGTACGAGTTCGGATACCTTCGAAGTGCAATTTCACGGCTTTTCGGACGCCTCTCAACACGCCTTCGCGGCGGTTACTTATATTCATGTTGTTTCGCCTAGTGACACTCGCGTGACTCTCGTCAGTATAAAGACAAAAGTGACGCCGCTCAAATGCATGACGATACCTCAACTCGAGTTATCAGCTGCCGTGCTTCTCGTAAAATTGATTCGCAAGGTTCGCGACGTGCTCGACTTGACTCGCTCCACAGCTCATCTCTGGACCGATTCGACTGTCGGCCTGGATCAAGAGTCATCCATCAAAGTGGAAGGAATTCGTGCAACATCGGGTATCGTTCATACAGGAACTGTCAAACTCTCGTTGGCATCACATCGCAGAGAAAGAAAATCCCACCGATTTGGCATCGCGAGGAATCTCTCCGCAACGACTAAAGCAGAAGCGCCTCTGGTGGTCGGGACCTCAATGGCTCCAACCTCAACTGAGTGGCCTGCCTCCACCTTCACTCTAAATTCGGTCGCACAAGGAGAGGAACATGCACGAAGCTATGCTGTCGCTATATTAAACCCCGAACCGGAGGTATGGGATCTCATAAAAAAATACTCCTCTCTCACCAAGATACTCCGCATCACCGCATGGATTCGACGCGCCATCGAACATTTTTGCAAAGCTACCGATGTACACGCCGCTCAAGATCCTCTCACTCCGATCGAATTGGACTCTGCGCTCGCCTTCTGGATCAAATTGACGCAACACGTGTGCTTCTCTTCGGAAATTCAACCTATCAAAGCAAATAAACCGCTGCTGAAATCAAGTCAATTACTGCGCCTAATTCCGTTTATCGATACCGATGAATTGCTTCATCTTTGCGGTCGCCTACAATATTCTCAATTGGATCGAATAGAGAAACATCCGCTAATCCTACTACGAAGCTCTCGATTGACGGAACTCATCATCGATCATTATCACCGAAAGACATTTCATGGCGGACCGCAACTCACGCTCTCATCGATACGACAATTCTGAATTCTCGGCGGTCGCCTTCCGATACGCTCATTCATTCGCCGATGTCTATGCACGTCAACGAGCAGCTACCGGCCGACAACTCATGGGACAGCTACCGGCATCGCGTGTAACTCCATGTCGACCGTTCTATCATACAGTCGACTATGCCGGACTGTTAACGCTCAATACTTTCCGCGGAGCCAAGACATACAAAGGATATTTCATTATCTTCACATGTTTCAGCACCTCAGCAATACATCTCGAAGTAACTACCGATTATTCTACCGAAGGCTTCATTGCCGCATACAAACGTTTCACGAGTCGCAAAGGCCTCTGTTCCACCATCACGAGCGATTGGTGGCACCAATCTCGTTGGAGCAGATGCCGAGTTACAACGATTCTTTAATGCCTCGTCTCGAGAGAGGTCTCGTATCGCCACTCATCTCGCTACCGACGGTATCACGTGGAAGTTCAATCCACCTTCCGTCCCGCACTTCGGCGGCAAGTGGGAAGCAGGAGTGAAATCTGTCAAGTTTCACCTCCGTCGAGTCATTGGTGAGACCTTGCGCACCTACGAAGAGATGACAACGCTCTTGGCTCAAATCGAAGCGATTCTCAACTCTCGCCCTCTAACGGCTGTCTCGGATGATCCATCGGACGTCTCCGCACTTACGCCAGGATATTTTCTCGTAGGCTCAGCTCTCACTGCCGTGCCTGAACCATCTCTGCAAGATCTTCCAGAAAATAGACTAACTCGATGGCAACTCTTACACCAGATGACAAAGTCATTTTGGCAACGATGGGCTACCGAAAGTGACGAACGAGTCAAACGAACAGTGACTATATTCATAATTTAAATTTCCGTTCAATCTTATTTCATTTGTTATTTTGACAACTAATATATTTGCCAAGGCGAGCGAAATGTTTGGACTAAATTCAATAAAAACTCAGAACGCTAATTTTTTTTAAATAATCATTTTTTAAATAGCATTTTCAGAAGTAAATAAATCGTTATGTTAAATTCTTGTGCTCATTGTCGAGTTAATTTCAACGCTTATTTCGCTCGACAGCTATTATGTTCAAAACACGCTTATTCTCGGTACCGACGCGGTCAGAATTCGAGACAGTGTCTACCTATCAGCTGTTTACTTCGCGTCACATATATATATGTATACAGTCGCAACCTTTCTTTCTTTTCTCGCGAAGTGAAGGTTACCTCTCAGTACCTGTGTACATCTATCGCTTAACGACCAAGTTCAGTTGCTCTCGAATAAAGCTCAGCAGCACATCGCATTGAATTTCGCTCTAAGTCTCTATTCTTTCAACACCTTTCTGACTCCTCGTGGTCGTTCGTGAATAATTCCGACATCACCAGCGGACCTGGTTTTCCGGTACCATTTTCCTTTCGCAATACTCACAACATCAAATAATATGCGGTATTCATTACCTTGCACGTTGATTCTTCGTATATTTTTAATAATTTTGAATTTGATGATTTAATAGTTTGTTTATGAGCTAAATTTAAAATATATTCTGCTTTTTTATGAGCGTCCGAAGCCGTGTAAACTAATCTTATTTCTAAGCGACTTTAAATTTTTCTCTCGCATATCTCCACTATAAGTAACATTGAAATTGCACCATTCCCGATTTATATTTAAGTCTTGCTTTTTTGTGGTCCTAAATTTTGAACGTTGGAACGATGCTACAACCTAAATAATCTACTTTACATTCCAGCCATGAGTATTTTGTTTTTCTTTCTTCCCACTGTTTGTGAGTTCATATATTCGGAAAGTTAAATTCAGGCATGTTCGAATTAGGTAACTGTATACTATTTAAGTCTTCTTTTGTTTTCAATTCTATTAACTGTTCCGAAAAATCTTCTTTATTGTTTGTTGATGGAAGAGAAGATGAAACTTCACGATCTTCTTTATTCTCATCACAAGCTATTGTAAGATTAGAACGTTTCAAATGTTACATCTTGTCGATTTGTTGAGAGGCTTCTGCTGGTCCCTTTAAAGTATTTTTCGGCATTTTTTTTCTGCTAAAATACTTTCATACGTGTGACGTTTGTACATGCAAATATGTATCTATTAAGTGAAGGAAAAAGGAAAGGAAAATTGAGGTTACATATACGTATATTAAGATCATGTACAAATAACTATACATTTGATCTTTTGAAGCACACATTTTTTTCTTCTGACTAATTTTCATATAACTTATTAGTATATAGTGCTTAAAAGCTTTGAAAAGATTACCTGAATCAGTCTAAATTAGTCAAAAATTACGGTCAAAACGTTACAATCGTGAATGCAACATTACACAACTATACATAGCATATACTATATGTATATGCTATATGTATATACTCAGGGATGGGAAGTAACTCGTTACTTGTAACGAAGTTACAGTTAGAGTTACTTTTTTTCAGTAACTGTAACTTAACTTCGTTACTTTCTTTCCATCTGTAATTATAACTTAACTTAGTTACATCTTTTAAGTAACTAATAACTAATTTAATAGTTACTTTCATAGTTATTTTATATATTTTAAACTTATTTGTCCACGGTAGTGTCCACTTGGTGCTACAAATACTTCGAAACATTTGATTAATCAGATGAAAGAAATTTAATTAAAGCGTTCAATGAACTCTTGTACCTGTTTGGTCTACATTTTGGGGTCTAATGGAATCCGCCAATCAAATATAAGAGCGTTCAATGAACGGTTGTAGACCATTTTGGATTAGTGCTGGAATTTATTTGCAACTTTTAGCCGAATATAAAAAGAATTTTTTTTTACAAAAAACATTATATATGTGTGCTATTTCATATTCATATTCATATTCATATGTGTTTATATTACTTTAACGAAAAACGTCTTTGCCATATAATTTTTTTATCTTTTTGAATAAAATTGGATAACATGTAAATTTAAGCCAGTCTTTTTCTTTTAATTGTCCTAGGCATTACTCTGATGACCCCGTGTATTATCCTTGTTTAATATTAGGTAAAAAACAAAGGTAAAACGATACATGAAGGGCAGTTGGATAACGTTTCTGAATACAGCCTTAATGGTATCGATACTACCAATAAAAATTCCGATGAAAAAAGTAACTTAAAAGTAACTTAAAGTTACTTTTTCAGTAACTGTAACTGTAACGAATTACTTTTCAGAGTCAATAACTTGTAACGGTAATTAATTACTTTTTGAAAGAGAAAAACTGTAACTGTAATTAATTACTTTTACAAAGTAACTTTCCATCCCTGTATATACTATATGTATATGCTCGATTCGAGCATTACACACAAGGTTCTGCTTCTTTTTCTTTATTTATATTAGTGCTCCTATTCTCATGGATTCGAAAATCACATAAATACTCGTAGGCGGCGTAGGTATACACAGTTCACGTATAGCATTATGGCAGATGGCAGGACAGACATGCCAATTCTGTTAAGCTGGAAACACAATAGACACAGGCAATAGGCACAGGCAACAGGGAATAACGAGCCGTCCAATCAGAGCTTTGGGGTATAAGTTCGATATTATATCCCAGAGCTCTAACTGGACGGCTTGTTATTCCCTGTTGCCTGTGCCTATTGCCTGTGTCTATTGTGTTTCCAGCTTTACGATTTACGACATCGCAACTAGCTCCATCGGTCGGCGGCCTGGCGCAACCGGTAGCACACACACAAGCACAAGCTCGTGTACGTGTGACTCTGGTAGCAGAAGTTCTGCGAAAGAGTTACACGTACACGAGCTTGTGCTTGTGTGTGTGTTACCGGTTGCGCCAG